CCCAGACCTCATCAGCTTCTCTGTGAGGACCTAACAGGAGACAGTGTCCAAAACCCGACCAAAGTCAAGGTAGACAATGTCCACTGCTCTCCCCTCATCTACCAAGCCAGTCACTTCATCGTAGAAGGCGATCAGGTTTGTCAAGCATGACTTCTCCTTGGTGAATCCATGGTGACTACTCCTGATGACTTTCTTGTTCTCCATGTGCTTGAGAAAATGTTTTCCAGAATTAGTTGTTCCACCATCTTTGCAGGGTTTAAGGTGAGGCTGACCAGCCTGTAGTTCCCTGGGTTCTCCTTCTTGCCCTTCTTGAAGACAGGAGTGACATTTGCTTTCCTCAAGTCCTCAGGTACCTCTCCCAGTTGCCATGGTCATTGAGATTGTTGAGAGTGGCCTCACAATGACATCAAATAGATCCCTCAGCACTCATGGGTGAATCCCACCAGGGCCCATGGACTTGTGCATGTGCAGTTTGCTTAAGTATTCCTTAACTTCATCTCTTCTACCAAGGGTATGTCTTACTTGCTCCATACTTTCCTCCAGGTCTCCAGGGCCTGGGACTTCTGAAAGCCAGTCTGGATGGTAAAGACTGAGGTGAAGAAGGCATTCACTATCTCAGTCTTTTCCATGTCCTGTGTCACTGGGTCCTCTGCCTCATTCAGCAGCACGCCCACATTTTCCCTGGTCTTCCTTTTGTCACCTATGTATTTATAGAAGCCCTTCTTGTTGACTTTAACATCCCTCCCCCGATTCAATTTCAGCTGGGCTTTGGCTTTCCTTACCCCTACCTACTCTGCATGCTCAGACAGTGTCTCCGTATTCCTTTCAGCCTACTTGCCCCTCCTTCCACCTTCTGTATACTTCCTTATTATGTATGGTTTCTGCCACAAGCTCCTTGTTCATCCATGCAGGACTCCTGGCATTTTTTCCTGACTTCCATCTCTTTGGGATGGACTGCTCTTGATCTTGGAGGAGGCGATCCTTGAATATTAGCCAGCTTTCTTGGGGCCCTCTCCCCTCCAGGGCCTTATTCCATGGGACTCTACCAAGCAGGTCCTGAAGAGGCTGAAGTCTGCTCTCCTGAAGTGCAGTGTTGTGATCTTGCTTGTTTTTGCCCTGCTCCATCCTCTCAGGACCTTGAACTCTACCATCTCATGGTCACTGTAGCCCTGAACCTTCACATCCCCAATGAGTGCCTCCTCATTTGTGAGTATGAAGTCCAGCAAAGACCCTCTCCTCATTGGCTCCTCTATCACTTGGCTCAGGAATTTGACATTGATGCTCTCCAGGAACCTCCTGGATTGCTTATGCCCTGTCACGTCGTCCCTCCAGCACACATCGAGGTGGTTGAAGTCCCCCACAAGGACCAGGGCCTACAAACATGAGGCAGCTTCTAGCTGTCCGCAGAAGGCCTCGTGACCTTGTTCTTCCTGGTCGGGTAGTCTGTGGCAGACACCCACTACAATGTCACCCATACTGGTCTGCTCTTTAATCCTTACCTATAAGCTCTCAATCGGCTTCTCATCCATCCTGAGGTGAGCTCCATGCATTCCAACTGTTCCCTCACATAAAAAACCTGTCCTCTCCTGTATCCCACCATGTCTCTGTGATCCCATGTACGTGAATGTGTCTAGAGGAGGGCAACAAAGCTGGTGACAGGGCTGGAAGGCATGTCCTATGAGGAATGGCTGAGGAATCTGGGTTTGTCTAGTTTGGAGAAGAGGAGGCCGAAGGGTGACCTCATTGCTCTCTGCAGCTTCCTGAGGAGGGGAAGCGGAGAGGGAGGTGCTGATCTCTTCTCCCTGGGATCCAGGGACAGGACGTGTGAGAATGGTTCAAAGCTGTGCCAGGGGAGGTTTAGACTGGACATTAGGAAGAATTTCTTTACCGAGGGGGTGGTCAAACACTGGAACAGGCTTCCTAGAGAGGTGGTCGATGCCCCAAGCCTGTCCGTGTTTGAGAGGCATTTGGACAATGCCCTTAATAACATGCTTTAACTTTTGGTCAGCCCTGAAGGGGTCAGGCAGTTGGACTAGATGATCATTGTAGCTCCCTTCCAACTGAAATAGTCTATTCTATTCTATTTTATTCTAACACTCCTGGATGAAAGATGGTATTTCTTACTACGCTTTACGTTTTGTTCTGCTCTGCTTTATTTGTTGTTACATAGCTGTATGTCAGTCAGCACTAACGCTAACAAGTAACACAACTCTGCAGACCAGCCAAAAGCATCTGCCCATACCAAAATCTATGGTCATTCATATTCATCGTCGATTAATCTCTACTGAAAACACTGAATAATCTAGTTGAGACACTAATTAACCATCATGTGTTTAGGTAATGTGTCAAAATGTAAGTCATACTACCTTGAAGGTATTTATCGTTTCACATTTTTATTTATTCATCAGTACAAGTATACTAGGAAAGATAACGTGGAGTATGCTTAAACCTACATGAAATGCTTTCCTACCTCCAGGCATAATCTGACCAACATCCTGTACAGTTAACACTGACAACTTCTCTTCTGTATCCACTCTTATCACGCTGAAACTCAGACAATTCATAGATAACACTGCTTTTCCTGGAGGAGGCCCACCCAATTCTGGAGGTCTGAAAAACAGAAAGCCAAATCAGATATGACTCAACAGACCAACGGCAATATGGTCACCAAAAACATTGTATAAGTCTCTCAGGCTTGTTAAGGTTAAGAGAAATAATGGTTTATCATTTTAAACAAACAAGAGTTCAAGACTGGTAATATATTCCATCCATACATCTATTCATAATCGAAGTATTTCCTTTCTTCAGAGCATCCCTTGCTATGTCCAGAAATTCAATGGTATTTTTGAGGCCAGTTACAAATTTTTTTTTTTTCTTTAGCCCCCTGTTTACACGACATTGTATATAAGCAATTACTTGAATATTCGGCATCTTCTTCCTCCCAAGTAACAGTCTTAATCTTTGGGGCATTTTATAAAGATCCTCCAGCAACATAAGTGAGGATGAGATCTCACTTTCCCAAGCAGTAAAAAAACCCAAAAAAACCCCCAAACCCAAAAAACTTATGGCTGACTACTCTTATAAAATATTGAACTTCTTACAGAAAACAAACAAAAATCACCCATCCTTCAGTGAAGGAGATACCTGCAAGCCTCAGACTTCCTCTGTCTAGGTCTTTGGGCATCTTTATGTTGGTAATCATTTTTCTGACTACCATTTTAACACCAGCTGCTTTTCAATAGTCAAGAAATGCTTCAGTTCACTTCTCAGAAAAGAGAATTACCTGCGAATAGCAACAGTTAGTGCCTCTGAGGAACTAGCACAGGGACAGATTACTTCTGGTCTCAAACCTCTGGATTGAAATACATTCAGGAATGCATCGCAGGAAGATATTGACCCTAAAAAGAACAATCACACAATTGAAAACATTTTGCCAAGGGCAGGAAAGCTTGAACTGCAGGATTTCAAAGTCTATGCTTACTCTCAGCTCAGCTATACAAATATGGTTGCATGCGTGCACAAAACCAATATACTTTCAAACTGCCTAAAAGACATTCCAGCCTATTATTAGATGTTAGATTTGGAGAAAAAACTCCCAGTGGTTAACAACTAATTCACTGAATGAAATTCACAACTGCATACTCTCTTTCTCTGGCAGCACTCCGTAATACTTAACATCATGGAAGGTCCTTCAGTGATCAGAGTATTTTGTCACTAAGGGTAACTGTATCTGTCGGCTTCCTATATAGCTACTATATGAGTGTTTCTTACAGAGGTCACAGAACCAAAGCATTTAGAAATTAACATCAAATACTTCTGACATATCTTCATTTCAATTCAGAACTCTACCTGGCCTTTAGTACTCAGCCCAAAATGCAAGAGGATACCTCATCACCTACAGCTTTGTATTTTACAGTTGTGGAATTGCAGCACGTAACGTAAACCAGCAAACTTCACTGATTATACTACATCCTAGGTATAATTTCATGTAAATTCATATAAGAGTACAGCACTGATGAAAAGATGAAGTTAAATTAATTTAGACAGCTAAATATAGCTAAGTGCAAACAGCAATGAAAAAGCAGTGGCATCACTAGCATACAAATAGTATTTTACTGTAGAACGAACTGCGTAACTTTCTAAGCATCAGCTCTGAAACAGTGCTTACAACAAATATAATCTTAGCAAGACTTTCTCAAGCTTTCATCTTGCGCCATCACAACTTGCTGACCTCTCATCATGCAACTCCAAGAAATCTGAAATATTATTGATTTTCTGGTGTACGAGAACAGCACAATTAAGCAACTAAGGTATATTCTTGCCTGTTGCAAAAAAAACAAACAAGCCTCCCAGCTGCTTTCTCAAATTACTGTAAGCCACCACCGTATGATTGACAGAAAAAGGCAAGAACCTACCGCATACTCTAGTTAATAGTTGTCATGGTTTTGAATTAAGGTTGTGACTGCTCCCATTTTTATGTCCTTGCACATGATTGAGACAAGCCCTAGGGGCACGTACAGAATCAGACACACTGCAACTCAAAGATTTTATGTCTACATGCAACACATGAGCAACTACTTCAAAACTGGCATTATGATTTACTTTAAATTTTAAAAGCCTCTTTCAAATTACATTGCCAACTATTCTTTGTATAAAGAATAGATCCTTTAGAACATTTTCTATGAAAGTTTTGCTCCAGCGTCCTTGGCAAAGAAATACTGCTGCCATCTCTGTTTTGCTGAAGATGAACTACAGCCAGTGCTGCTGAGCTCCTACAGTGCAGACCCAGAGTTCTGTGATTTACAGTGTGCTTTAGTTCACCTTGGACTGACACTCAGAAAATGCATCCATACTCACATGGATTAGCTCCATCTGCCACTATTAACATTCGTAAAGAGCTCAGACTGACATCTCTCTGATCCCTCTGAGCCAAAAGTGACCAGTGCATATCACGTGATTTTACTACTGCTACACGGGCTGAAAAAAAAAAATTATGGTGCGTGTGCAGAACAAAATAAAGACCAATTATAAAATTATATAAATATTTGTGTATTTACATAAATTTATGAAACAAATTACAAACATAGATAACAAATACAAATGCCAAATATTTAACTACTGTGACATATGTATACTCAATGTCTCCAGATGGACTTGATTACAGAATTCAAATGTTTACTATAAATTCAAATACTGAGATAAGAAACACAGTTTCTTTAAAGGTCTATCAGAAGAAGCCATCAATGTCACTCATCAATGAATCTATCAGTACATATAATACTGAAATGGAGTACCCAGTTGCTAAAACTGTGGCAAAGAAAGTCAGATGGATAAAACCGCAGTGGCCTCAGCTAGAGCAGACATTTTACACAAATAATTTTTTTTTTTTTTTAATCATCCAAAAAGAGATGGGTTAAGTAAAAACACTTTAAGGTTACCTTTGTATGAGCAGACTTTCTGTATCCAGGAAAGTGGATTAACCTTCATTAATGCATAGGGAATACTGATGACATGCATCCTGTTCATAACACTCTAGGAGAAAAATATTAAAAAATAAACTTTCAAGTGGTTCAGAGAATACATAGCACGTACCAATACTTAAAAAAAAAATCATCACAGCTACAGTGTAACACTTACATTTAACTGTTCGTGGAAACTATGTGTATAGTCAGTAAAAACATAAGCTATGCCTGTGTAGTCTGTTACTGAAAAAGTAACACTATATTCTGAAAAATACCAATACTGAAATATAAATAGTTTGAGAGTTTCACCACATTCTGCTACCAATACTCTACCCCTGAGAAGCAACTTGCTGCAGTTTTTTTCATTCATTCAAATACTCACTGTTAATACTCCATGCCAAAGGCCAGCATCTCTTTTGAAATCCAAGACATTTGTTAGTGTTTCAGCTGAAAGCGAAGGAAAAACTATCAGACTTAAGAAGCATATTTATAAGAATATTTAGGAACTCAAAATACTTGTTAAAGAACTATGAAACTTCCAACACCACTAAGAAATCAAAGCTATGTTGCCATGCCTTCTTGTCTATAACAAACAGGCTGCTTAAGCTGAAAGTGTCTTATTTTACTTACAGCAATCATCTTTGAATTATGATTATAGACCAGATTATTATAAGGTATTTAAGACCCTGTTTTCATTATAATACCACTTCCATGTGTTTGTTACATTTGCCAATGAACTATGCAGACTGAAACTTTAGTTTTGATGCAAACTTTTTCAGCTGAACTGAAAAGGTTCAGCTACATTTGAAAGAACTAAATTTAGTAAGAAATATTACCATGTACTAAATTTTCTTCAGTTTTTTCTGTGAGAAATCTGAACACCTTATGTGATTTAAAAAAACAGAATCAAAGATTTTAAATCAAAGATTTAACCTAATTTTAGGGGGATATCTTATATCGATCAGGTGAAACTTGCTTATCACTGACATAGGATGGCTGCAAGCACAAGAAATTGTTCTTCAGGGTATTTATTATTAAGTTTTCAGAATGTACACAGCTATTTCCCAACAAATAAAATGCTTTGATAAGTCAGCCACATATCCGTTCATTCTGTCAGTGACCGAGAGCTCCAATTGCTCTGAGACAGGTGCGCAGTCCCAGACATGAGCCTGTATATAAGGAAATGCAAATCTTCCATACCCTCAATTCTTTTCAACCTTCAGGAAAAGTGAACTGCATAGAACTGGATTTGCTGGATAAAGCAGCCAGCAGTTTCACAGCATCTTATGACAGACTCTGTATGATCCTCACAGAGAAGCTGATGAGGTCTGGGCTGAATGAGCAGGCAGGGAGGTGGATTGAAAACCGGCTGAACGACCAGGCCCAGAGGGTAGTGATTGGTGGCACAAAGTCTAGTTGGAGGCCAGTAACTAGCTGTGTAGCCCAGGGCTGAATACTGGCTCCATTTCTATTCAGCATCTTCATTAATGATCTGGATGATGGGGCAGAGTGTATGCTCAGCAAGTTTGCAGACGACACAAAGCTGGGAGGAGAAATGTCTGACACACCAGCGGGTTGTGCTGCCATCCAGAGGGACCTCGGCAGGCTGCGGGAATGGTCTGACAGGAACCTCATGAAGTTCAACAAGGAGAAGTGCAAAGTCCTGCCCCCTGGGGAGGAATAAACCCATGCACCAGGACATGCTGGGAGCCAACTGTCTGGAGAGCAGCTTTGCAGAAAGGGCCCTGGGGTTCATGGTGGCCACCAAGTTGAACGTGAAACAGAATGTGCCCTTACAACAAAGAAGGCTAATGGTGCACTGGGAGGAACGTTGTCAGCAGGTCAATGGAGGTGATCCTTCCCCTCTGCTCAGCACTGGTGAGGCCACAAGCTGCAGTACTGTGCCCATGGCTGGGCTCCCCAGTGCAAGAGAGAGATGGAGCTACTGAAGTGAGTCCAGTGAAGGGCCACAAGGATGAATAGGGGACTGGAGCATCTGGAAAAACTTTATGCAGGGGTAACTGAGCACTGGCACAAGACTGTTCAGCCTGGAAAAGAGAAGGCTCGGTGGCGATCCCATCAACGTGTACAAGTATCAGAAGGGAGATTACAGAGAAGACTGAGTCAAGCTCTTTTCAGTGTTGTCCCATGACAGAACAAGAGCTAATGGACACAAACTGAAACACATGAGCTTCCCTCTGAACAGAAGGAAAAACTTTTTCCACTGTGAGGGTGACTGAGCACTGGAATGGGTTGCCCAGAGAGGTTGTCAAGTCTCCATCCTTGTAGATGTTGAAAAGCTGTCCGGACATGGTTCTGGGCAGCTGGCTCTAGGTGGCCCTGCTTGAGCTGAAGGGTTGAACCAGATGACCTCCAGAGGTCCCTTCCAACCTCAACCATTCTGAGTGTCCCATACTCTGGATATCCCTGCAAACTAGTTGGTCCTGGATTAACCTCAGTTTCTTAATGATGTCTGTTTGCAACAGTGTGCTTCCTAAAGTAGGTAGATGGGGCATTGCTCCCCAGCCCATTAAGTGGATTGTAGCAAGGAGACTTTGTCTCTTCCCTGTTCTCTTTTGAGGCTAGGCTGCTGAGTCGTGCATTATTTGGAGAGGAGAGCATTCTGAAGAAGATTAATAAAATTAGGGTGCCAAACCAGACCTAGGACTGTGGACAATGACTGGGATCTGTGTCCTGAAAGACCATTTAGTGCCCTCTACTCCAGAAGTGAGGATTGCAACATCTAGGTTGGTAGTGTAACGTTCCCTTGCACTATCTGTCTGAGGGTACCACTAGCTTCAGGCCCTGTCCTGACCTGGTCTGGGTGTGCTTGGAAAGGATGAGATACAGTTGTTGGTTTGGTTTTTTTTTTTAATTCTCCTTACTCCTTCAGGTTTACTATGTAGTGACCAAAGAACCTGATTCATTCCAGTCATGCCCTTGGCACCTGTGGCTTTGCTATTCTTGGTCCCATTAGGAACCTCATGCCTTGCTGAGCTGTGGTTCCAAAGCCCTCCTCTCTGTAGAGCATTTACTCAAGGTAAAGATGAAGGGAAGAGCCATCTTGTGCTATTTCAGCAACCACCTCTTCTCAGTACATCAAGGCCCTCGTTATGACTAAGAGGAGGCAGACACCTTTCCAGTCTGCTGATAAAAATTTCAGCCATTGTGTAACAAGTGGTACTGATCTTGTTTCATTTTCCTCATTACTCCCAGAAGCACTCTGCAACCAATAAGGGTGGTGGTTCAGTTATTCTTACTGAACTTAAATTCACATTCAGAGCTTCCTTCTGCTACCAATAAAAGACGGAGCAGAAGCTCTGCACTTCATACCAAAATAAAGGGAAAGGAGCTCTTCCTGTGGGGATTCATGTCCAACCTACTTATTTTAACTGCAGAAAATTGAACATCTCTATTCTGACCTTCTAGGTAGATAGGCAAGGCAAGATATTCAAAATGTTCTTCTGGGAGCAAGGGCTTTGTGGCCAGCAGGAGGGTTTTAATACATTCCTAGATATGTTCATAGAACTGTATGCGTTCTGCAGATCCTGTTAGAGTTCAGTGTGCCAGGCACCCTCGGGCAGGTGGTATCTGGGTGGGTCTGTGAAAAATCCTGTGTCATCTTTACTCTGGTAGTTACCATTATATCACCATCTCTCTTTTCTGCTTATGATCCTTATGAGCATCCTATAGCATCACAGATCTGAGTCAAGATAGGTGGGCCAGGTAATTTACAGGAAAATGACTTCTGCTTCAACTTAACACTCTAGGAAGTAAGGTTGTAAAGGCAGGCCAGTGTGAATACAGCCATCGAGGATAATGACTATGCATTGTTGTATGGCCTCAATGTGAAAACATGAGTGCAGGAAAAAAAAAAAGAGTATGGTGACCTAATCTGACTTAATAGCTTCTGAATTGCTTCATCTGAATGTTCAAATTCAGGTTATTAAACTTGTCTGCAAAGACCCAGAAGATGGTTAGCTGTGACTGGCTTCTGTGTCTCAACAGAATGGTTATTCTTCCACTTCAACTAGAATACAGATGGCATGGACTACTACTGCTATCTGATTTGGCTGTTTAGACTACTGATATCCCCTTGAAACTCCGCTGAAATTTAGCTGTGCTCCCAATCTTCTGCTTAGATTATGGGTTAGTCACAGGAACATGGAGGGAACAAGTTTGCATGCCCTTCAGGTAGTCATGGATCCTTTGGTGAACCGACTGAGGTTGAACTGGATGTTGGTCCAGTTTTTGACAGTTCAAAAAAGTGGTATTTGATGCAGGATCGATTAAAATCTTTCTCTGGATCAATTTATCACATGGAGATCCTCCTGGCTTTGCTGTAGGCTTGCTCTCTGGGCAGGGTGTGCTTGTCTACGCTAAGGCACAGAGCAGCCTATAGTTGTGTTGCACCTTAAGCTACTCTTCATATTCAACCATTACAGCTGTAAGTCCAGTTGGTTAATCTTCCATGATGCATTTGCTCAGTGGCAGGTTTGAGTCTGCCTTATGATGTTGAAGAATTACCTGTATGTTTGTGGGTAAGTAATTTCACCTTCCTCTTCTATGTAAGTTGTTAATGAAAAACATGTCCCTGTCCTTGTGAAATGCTTAATTGGGTAGCGAGAGGGATCTTTGACAAAACTCCTTCTGCTTTGTCAAATGCCTTGGAGCATTGTCTGGCAAATGTAATGGACCCTTCTGGTTTAGGATGCCATTGACAGACAATTGACAACACTACCATGACTTTCTACATTAGTAAGAAACATCGAGTGACTTGTCTGATTGTATGAGGGGAGAATAGTTAAGTGTGTATCCATTTAGTGCCTCAAAGTGATATGACTTGTAATTGATGGCTGTTGCTATTTTAAAATATAGTAGTAAGTGGCAAAACTACTTGTAAGTTAAGCAGAAGTTGGGCAACTTAACGAATTAATTCTTTCAAAACTCTGATCAGCATTGGGCTATCAGTATCTGGGGCAGATAAACTTCAACATGAGCAAATGACAAAAATTCCAGGTCTGAAGGTATATTTTAGCAGAAATTTCTCTGTACATTCCTTAAGTCAGAACATATGCAATAGAGTTCTTTCTAGAGGATAATGCAATTATTTTGTTCCCTGTGACTGTCTCTTTAAAAAAAAAAAAAGTTAAAAGCTTCCAGAGTAGGAAGAAAGTAAAAAGGCTAGCAGTTATTTATAGGTGTGTGCCAAATGAAAAGAAATCAATGACTTAAAGAAATTAATGACTTATTTTCAAATGAGTCTGCATGTACATTCTAACAGTGGATATACTTGTGCCTTACCTTGTAAGATTTATGCTTTTTCCTATGTAGTGTTCATGGAGGATGTGCTCTGTCCATTCTCACTTGGTGTTTGGCATACAGGAGAGAACATACCACCATTTCCTTTCCTGTTAGTTGCCCTCTTGAATTACTCTGCTGACTGATGAGTCTTGCTCTTTATCTGGTTTTGGTTTTGTATTTTTTTCCTTTCCTTAGATTGCTGTGCTTTCACCAAAGGCCTAATTTGAGTCAGATGCCATCCCTGAAGGCTTTGTTCCATCTTCTGATCCCCATTGAATACATTTAAGGTCTTGGAAGTGACTACATGCCCTAGTCTTTCAAACATCTTATGACATAAGAGCTCACATTCCTGAATTTCATTTGGTCAAACCTGCTGTGAGCTACTAGCCAAGAACTAGTAGTCACTGAGGCTTGTGTAGTCAAGCCAAATGGTTTTGATCTCATTACCCTTGAAGATCCCTGGCGTACTTTATTCAGGAACCAGCTGGTTAAAAGGTCATAGATAAAGTGTCCACTTTCACCCTCCTTTTCTTCAGATCTTGCTATTTGTTGAGACACTGAGCCCACCTGCTTAGGGGATCTTATTCAACAGACCCCTTTGCACCAGGATTATGTCTTATGTCACTGCTGCTTAACCCATAGGCCATTCTTGATGCCACATTCTCTTCAGTTGCCTTGGCTGTTCACTTTCACTATCTACCATGAATGCCAATCACAAGAGCCACCAGGGAAGTGCAAGCATCCATGAAGAAATCTTCCCATCAAAGACAGCAAGAGAATTCTTAAGAGAGCCTAGTATGCATTCCCCTGGAATCTTTTCTGCAGCTCCTGGAGGGATGATGTTTTGCCTCACCTGTTGACCACCTTGGGCTATTTTGTGTGGTTTCTGTCTGGGACTGATGTTGCTAAGAAGCAATATTTGGCTCATAACAATCTTCAGTTCATTTTTTCAAATTGGACTGGTAAAAAGGGTAGGGAGGGTACTAAACCTCTCTTCTTCTGCCTGTTTTTTGCCTCCAACTTTCACATCAACCGGGGTACGATTGCCGTATCATCTGTCATCTTGGAAGCTTATTCTACCTTATGCTTGGACTTGGATATGGATGCTCGGGGTATTCAGTTAAGTTTGCCGCCCTGCTACTTCCCAACTAAACATTTCCATTCTTTTACAGGGATCTTTCTCACATTCTTTCTTTGACAGGAGAGTAACGCTGTCTAATCCAGAAGATCTATATCCCTATAGCTCCTAATCATACAAAGCCTGGTTCATAGAAAGAGTGCTGCAGCAGCTACTTTCTTATACTCAAGCAGAAAACTTCAGGTTGGTGCCAGACCTTAGGCTTCTGCAAGATAAACTTATGCATATACAGTTTCAAGTTCTGGATTGTGACTGTATTTGGTACCTTTCCCAGAAGTTCAAGGAGAATGGTTCAAGTTTCTCAAATGGCAAGATGCTTACTTTGTCTCCAGTCTGTGGATGTCTTGGATGTTATTGTTTCCTTTGTCCATGTCTCAGCGAACATTTGCCCAGGTTCTTGTAGTTATCACAATGCATCTTCACTGCAGAGGAATCTGGTTCCTTTATCTCAGTGCCTGATTTGTGAAAGGAGTTGTTACAGAACAACTTTGTGAAGCTTTCAGTCTTTTTTCCTTAGGTTTTGAATGTGAGATAGCAGTACCTCATTCCCACTCAGTCCTTAGAATTTATCATAGTAATCAGTTCTGTGTGTTCTGCTTGGCTTCAGTCTATCACATGATGGCACAACAGCCTGCCGCTGCAGAACTTCTTCTCTCGGAGATCTGTGTCAATGTGTACACTTGTGATGAGATATTTTCTTCCAATTTAAATGTTGTGCTTTGGATGCTTGTGTGACCACCTTTAGAGTCTAGATACTTGTTCATCCTTATCTAGGAAGTTGGCTTGCTTTATGCCTTTTGCCCTTCTCAGAAGAGCAGGGAAAGATTCAAGTCCTTGTATTGGACATCCCCATATGCTGTTTCTTCAAAGATTAGGCTTCTCTGGAAACCCTGCAAATACCTTCCACAATGGTGGTAGAGGCATCTTATCCTAGCCTTTTAGTATTTTTCCTAAGGCTTCATGCTTCTAGAACAGAAGTTATAACTAAAGACTGTAGTGCAAGGAGGGCCCTCTTGTTTTTATTCTCACGGACCCAGGCCTTTTAGGACGACTTGCTTGCTATGAGAAGATCCTGGAGTTCCACTGTTGGCACACAGTAACAATCCAGATGGATATCAGTTGCATACAGATCCACTATGAAACCACAAAGGTGGAACAAGAGAGCACTTTCTAACACTCATCAGGCACCTTTGGTAGTAGCCTTCTGCTGTGCAGGTCTTTGACATTCTTCTTGCATTCATGCTGTGCTGGTCTTGAAACATCCAAAGCTGAATCCAGTCTTTGGTAGGGCATCAGTGCAGTCATTTATTCGCACAGTAGGATTCTCATCCTCTGCCAGAAATCTCATGGCAGGGCTAAGTGCTGAGAGTCACCATCTATAAGAATGTACATGTGGACTCATTTGAAGAAAGAAAGCTTTCTTACCAGTAATCAGTATTCTTCGTGATGTGTAGTCCACATGTACATTCCCGTCCCATTTGCTTTTCCCTTCTCTCTAATTCTTTTTCAGATGCAATGCTGTTGAGAGAGACTGAAATGGTGGTAGATGCACTCTCTTGTATGTCACACATGAAGCAGGAAAAGAAGGAGAAGCAAGAGTACAGGCTCTACAGATACTGCAAAAGGAAAACCTTGCAGTATCACATGGCAGGACAGAACTATGCCTGCTGTTAGAATGTACGTGTAGACTACCTGTATCATACATTGGTTACTGGTAAGTATTTTTTTTCACTTGATCAGGGTGATAGGATTGTCCTTGGGCTTCATGGATGGAGCATCGTCTGGGGACTGTAGGCTAATCTGCTGGTTTTTCCATGTTTGTGAATGAGTTGAGGACTGTAACATTTGCATACGCCTACAAATTGTTGCGCTTTCTCCAGTTATTAACACTTCTCTCTGCATCATTGCTTAAGCGTTACATACAGAGTTCTGAGGTTAACTCAAGTTATTTCCTGTGGTAACAAACTATTTATTCTGTTTCAATTTACCGTTAAGTTTTAAACAGCCTTTTTTTCCAGTTTCTCCTCCTAAATTGCAAAATGTGTTTTTTGCACAACTAACTGATAGTTCATACTGTATAATTTAATTCCAACCTTCTAGTTCATACGTATTATTTTCAGCAACTGAAACTGTTGTTCTAATTTGGACTTGGACCTGTACCAGAATTTGAGTGGCGTCTCCTTATTTGGTCACCAAAGGTTATCATTGCATGGTTCCAAACATTTTGTTAATAAATGCTAGTTGTTCTGATAAATAATTTTTATGAAACAAAGATAATTTAGAGGTTGATCTATTGGTAGCATGAATTATTGTCTCTCCTGTTCAGACCTAAGTTGTTGAGAACTGAAGACTTCTCTGAGATTAGAAAATGTACCTATGAAGCTTTTCTACCAGCAGAGTTCTTGGTCCATGCTTGCGGCAGAGCTGGCTTTATCATGTATTAGTATTAATGGAAATGTGCCACTTCCCATTTATGATTTCTCTTCATGCTAGTTGAACAGTGGTAAAAGAAAGGGCTATCTGTATATCACTTAAGATTGGCTAAATTAGAAAACAGTAATACAGTCCTTCATAATGGCTGTTGTAAGCCCAGATAACTGGGCTTCCCATCTGACATATGTTCCGTGGCCAAAACATTCAAAAGGTCCTGATGGAAATAAGACAATTAAATAAATTTCTGATATCTTTGGTGTGCATGGTTATTTTCTTTAATACAGTATGCATGACCACAAAGTACTCTGATAATCTGAGTTGGAGCAGATGCAATGGGAGAGGGCAGAACATTAATTTATGGTATAGTCTGTGTTATCTTTCAAAGGCTCTGTTTATTTTGTATTGACCCAGGTAGCCATTTTGATTTCTTTGTTAATCTTGAGTCTTAAGTGCTAAGCTAAGCTTCCTTGCTCCATTGTGCCTTCTCCCTCCATATCCTTTTTCCTTTCCCTTTCAGACTGGGAAAGGACAAATCCAGACTGCTTAAGCAAGGGCTCTACTTAGCCAGAGAAACCTCTGAGGAAACAGTGGCTTCAGAAGTAAAATATAACCAGTGTCCAGAGCAAAGCTCAGTGTAATATTTGGTTTACAAGTGTGTATATCCTTGATTAAAAATAAGAAAATTTCAGTGTAGGAAGACTTCTGAGATTTCAGAAGAAAATTGGTAAGGGTAATAGCAGTAGGACCTTTATGAAATGCAATCCTTTTAGTGAGTTGAAGATCATCATCAAACTGAGAATAGGGAAGAGAGAATATGTAGTCACAGGAGTAAGTTCAGTAAGGGACAACTCTATGAGATGTCTGTGGTCTCTAAATCATAGTTGCCAGACTGGCCTGCTTTAAAAGAATATGGGACATAACACAGAAAAATCATTGACCTGACAGTGAGAGTATAAAATAGTCTGGTTTTCTCTCCATTTCTAATGTGTTTCTCACATGAATTAAGGGATGATACTATGAATACCAAAGTGTGCGATAAATAAAAGGAATGGTATGTCTGTAATTGGTATCTTTTTATTTTTCATCTTTATTCTCGTATATGCTTACACTTGATCAAACCATCTGCCTTCATGTTGAAAAGCAATTGCAACAGTTTTGGATTCAGTTGCAGCTGATGTGTAGGCTGTGAAGCCCTGTAAGAAAAAAAAAAAAAAAATTGCATTTGCGAACTTGCATCTTTAATCTTAGAGAACACATTACACAGGCTGTCAAAAAGATAGAGCTATCTTGCATGCTGTGTTTTTGCTGTAGCTGATAGATAATTGATATTAAAATCTTTATCTGCCTGTCAGTGGCAAAGCAACTTCTGTGTCAGCTGCTGAAGCATACCAATGCTGTGATTCTGTGTTCTTCCTCTCCCTTTAGCAAACGTGTGTGTTGTGAAGGTGGATGGGACTCCTTATCTGTGTAAAGCTGATGAGGTTGGAGAAATATGTGTGAATTCAGGTGCAACTGGGATGGCATATTTCGGCCTCCTCGGAATCACCAAGAATGTGTTCGAGGTTTGTATTTCCCTTTGTAATATAAAGTTTCATCATTACATTTCTAGTATTTCTTTTTGCAAATAAACTTATTTGTTCCTTAAACTTCCTTTTTTATTTTATTAGAAAAAGCCATGGCCAAATACACTTTGCTTCATTGTCTATCAGAACTTGAAATTCTGTCTTTTATAACCAAAAATAGAAAGCACCATCAGCAGTCAATCAGCTGCCTCTGTGTTCTGCTATCCAGTGTTGTGCCTATGTTAGCATTTAAATTCACCTTAGTTCTGTATTAACACAGCAGTCTTATGTAAAGTTACCTGAAGACATTTCAAGTTTATTGATGCACAGCTTGGGATGTAGAGTTAGAAGTTAGTATGATATTCGTGAGCTTCTTCATACAATCAAAACGCATTTGTGCAGATATAACAAATTATTTAGAAAAGCTTCCTTTGTGTATTGCAAACAGTATGTGCTTTTCAAAATCAACTTTAGTGTTGATTTGCTGTAATGCTTAGAACACTAAACAGTTTGCTGTTGGATATATGAAATTATGTATATGGAAGAAGAGATAGTAAGGATGATAGCATAACAGTCATAAGCCTTGTAGTTTGTCAAAGTAAAGCAAAAGTGATCTTTCTGCCCTGATTTTTCTTCCCAGTGGTACCCCAATTTCATGTTTTTCCTTTTCTGGCAAGAAAGGAGTGAAAGTCCTTTGGGAGTCGCACACACAGTAGTGTTACACTGGGCAGCAGTTTGAAGACTTGGCTGAAGTATGGAGTTCTACCAGAGAGATGAAAGAAATCCTGACCATAGTCTTCTCTTTGAAAAAAGCTCTTTCTGTCAGCTTGCCCAGCCTCAGCACTTTAAACAGCTTAGCTTTCAGCACTGTCCTTAGCTAGTGAGAGAGCCATCGAGAAACCTGATGTAATGGAAGGCTTTTGGGGCATGGGGGGAAGGCAAGGAAACCTGCTGAGCAGATGAGAGGAACTTGCAGATGAGCTTAATGCTTTTGCTCTGGTTCTCCATTGTAGGCAGTCCCATAATTGCAGCAAACTTAACTTTCTTAAAGTTCTGATAGCATAGCGTTTGTCGCAATTGAAGAGATATGCCTGGGTACATATCTCATCAGGGATGTTAATAGTAGCAACGGAAAGACTTTCTGATTAAGTGCTATATGAGTGCATACTATAAAACCTGATTTAAAGAGCGCTGTGAACTCTTGTTACGAAGGCTAAGTAGCTCAGAAAAAGATAAGTTGGCTACCACAGAGTTAAGAATTGGTGTATTCTTCATATTCAGAAAGCTGTTGCTCATACTTGACATGATAGTAACTGTTGTCATTGTGTAATTTTTCAACTCTGTAGAGCTGCAATGAAACAGAGGCAGAAAGCATTTTAACTTCACTTTTCTTATCAGTACTGTGAGTGTCTGAATATTTATGTGTTCTTTCAGGCCATTCCACTGACGGCAGCCGGCGTGCCTGTTTCAGACCAACCCTTTACAAGAACAGGATTGCTTGGCTTTGTGGGTCCTGTAAGTGTGAATGAGCCGTCTGGGGCCCTGCTTTGTCCTGATTCCCAACTCTTAAGTGATGCCACTGAATTCAGCAGAATTCTGTGCCAGGGCAGTGACCTCAATATTATTGGCTCTAGTCAGGCATGTATCGCTGGGAGTCTGGAGGTTTTTCCCCTCTATTTCTAATCCTGTCTTCTTTTCAGGACTATTTGGTGTTTGTGGTAGGAAAATTGGATGGCCTAATGACGGTTAGTGGCCGCAGGCACAATGCGGATGATGTGGTAGCCACTGCATTGGCTGTCGAACCCATGAAGTTTGTCTATCGTGGAAGGTGAGTATATTAAAAACTTCACCACTGCTGATTGGACTTCATTGCTCCTTTTTTCACCCGCAAACGATCAACAAGTAACATAGTGTACACAGGAGTTCTGCATGTGAATTTTTACATGTGTATTTTGTAGGAAAGGTGGCACTAGGTTGTGATATACCAGTTAAGAACTTGGCTGTCCCTGCTAACTTGGAAGACAAATATTGATACCCTGCTTCATGCATAATAGATTTAAAATTACTTTCACATAATATAAGCATAGATCTTTAAGTGTCTACTTAAAACTTATTTCAGAGCTTCTCTTAAGACAGTCAAATGAAGCTTGTATGCCAAATGTAAAACACAACTCCCCTTTGTCCACCTGAGCCTTTCATGCAGAGTGGCCTAGGGAAGAACTTTGCAGCATGTTCTAAAGAACAAACTAGGAGTGTTGAGGCTGCTGAAGGACCTTCAGAGATAGTGTGTGTTGTATCACCAACCTTATTGCTCTTCAGTGGTCAACGGCTCAATGTCCACGTGGAGATCAGTGACAAGCGGTGTCCCTCGGGGGGGGTCCGTATTGGGACCAGTCCTGTTTAATATCTTCATCAATGACATAGTTGGATCGAGTGCACCCCCAGCAAATTTGCAGATGACACCAAGCTGAGTGGTGTGGTTGACATGCCTGAGGGATGGGACACCATTCAGAGGGACCTGGACAAGCTCGAGACATGGGCCCGTGTGAACCTCATGAGGTTCAACAAGGCCAAGTGCAAGGTCCTGCACCTGGGTCAGGGCAACCCCTGGCATCAATACAGGCTGGGGGATGAAGGGATAGAGAGCAGCCCTGCCGAGAAGGACTTGGGGGCACTGGGGGATGAAAAGCTGGACATGAGCTGGCACTGTGCGCTTACAGCCCAGAAGGCCAGCTATATCCTGGGCTGCATCAAAAGAAGCGTGGCCAGCAGGTCGACAGAGGTGAATCTGCCCCTCTACTCCGCTCTGGTGAGACCCCACCTGGAGTACTGCGTCCAGCTCTGGAGTCCTCAGGACAGGAAAGGTATGGGCCCGTTGGAGCGGGTCCAGAAGAGGGCCACAAAAATGAGCAGGGGGATGGAACACCTCTCCTATGAGGAAGGGCTGTGAGAGAGTTGGTGGCGTTCAGCCTAGAGAAGAGAAGGCTCTGAGGAGATGTTATTGCAGGCTTTCAATACTTAAAGGGGTCTTATAAGAAAGATGGGGACAGACTTTTTAATAGGGCCTGTAGTGATAAGACAGGGAGTAATGATTTTAAACTAAAAGAGGGTAGATTCAGACTAGATATAAGGAAGAAATTTTTTGTGATGAGGATGGTGAAACACTGGTACAGGTTGCCCAGAGAGGTGGTGGATGCCCCATCCCTGGAAACATTCAAGGTCAGGCTGGATGAGGCTCTGAGCAACCTGATCTAGTTGAAGATGTCCCTGCTCATTGCAGAGGGGGTGGACTAGATGATCTTTAAAGGTCCCTTCTGACATAAACCATTCTATAATTCTATGAAAGTCAAACTTCCCTTATTTTTGCATCACTTGTGCAAATCACATATCATAAAAATAATGGCACATACCTGGTTGAGGCATTATTAATATTTTATCCTAGAAGATGCAAGCCTAATTCACAAAGGGGAGTAAGTATTTTTCAGTGCAAGCATTGATAGACATGCTGGTCGGTAATTCGGCATAGTTGTCTTTCATGAGGGACATCGTATGTAGGTGCAACAGGTTTAGAGTGCACGACGGAGTTATATAGTCAAGGTTTGCACAGCCCTGTATGTATGGAACCTGCCTGTGTTAAACGCGTACTACATTGGTGACTGCAAGTTCACTTGACCCCCAACAGAAATAAATTACAGTAATGAACCTACATTTGTTCTAAATTTGTCTGTGATTTTGTGATGAGCTGGCATGAATAATACTTGTGTGTTGAAACGGTACCATTAAAGGTTGCAGTCATTTCCACATAATAATAAACCATGCTATGTTCATCATATGTTGCATCCTATCATTCTTCTGTCCTTTGCGTTTTAGGATAGCAGTGTTTTCTGTGACCGTTTTGCATGATGATCGAATAGTGCTTGTGGCAGAGCAGCGCCCTGATGCGTCAGAGGAGGATAGTTTTCAGTGGATGAGCAGGGTTCTACAGGTAGTCAGTTTGTCCTTTCTCTCTTTCCAGGTGAATAAGGCTGATGTATGAAATGAGAATCTTAGAGCATCTTTTTTTCCATAAGAAAAACCTATCCATGTAACTACAGAGAGTTGTAATAAGCTGACTTCTGAATGTATTTCAGGGTCGATAGTTAACAAACTTGTAAAAACTAAGACTTTTTTTCAGAATGTTTTTTAACTTCATACTGCTAGGATTCTTAAAGTCCTAAGGATGATAGGGTTTGTTTTAATTCTACATATCTCTACTGATTTCATACTGGCTGGGAGAGTTAAGTGTGAAAATGTTTAAGGGTATACTTAGTGCCAAGTATCAAAACAGACCCTAAAATCTTTTTATGTCACTAACATCCTTATTCTAGATCTCCAACCACAAGCATTAAAAACTTTTTCCCTTGATTACTTTATTGTGTTTTTGTGGGGGGCCAGGAGGGAGGAGAATTCTGGTAGATTTGCATTTGAGGATTTCAGAATTAACTGATCAATTCTAAGGAAGTAAAAAGTGAGAGAGCAATTATGGAAGAAGACTGGTGAAGGGACAACTGAAGGGAAGGCTAGAGAGAACAACTTAAGGGAAGATGCTTCTTAAAAGTAAGGCAGTTGTGTAATAATGGTTTCTGTCTAATTTCAGCTTTATAATCTTTTTGGAGGGAACATCTGATAATGGGCTGTTTTTCATGGGAGAAAATACTTTTATTTCTCTTTTTAGAAGTGTCATAGCTAAAATAGACACTTAAGTTTTAGGCAGCAAGATGTTTCCCTATTTTTGTGGTTTTATGTTCTACTGCGCTTTTGTGATTGTGCCATACGTGCTAAATTTTCTGTGGTATAATTTTGACTTTTTAAAATCTCTGCACTTTTTGCCCACCTTTAAGAGACTTTCCTAATCCCTGATGTGCAGGTGGCATCCCCTTGATAGAGTGCACAAGCAAAGTCCTGGGTCTGCTCCTGCTCCCATTGAAGTCATGGCACAACTTCTATGAGTTCAGTGAGTGCAGAATTGGACCCTTTATTTGCAAATTGTGGTGCAAGTAAAAATGTTAATGTTATAAAATGACTTGAATTCAAATTCTTGCTCTAGCCTACATCCCATTTGATAACGTGGAATGGTTTTTTGTTTGTTTGTTTGTTTGTTTCCTTTTTATCAAGGCAATTGACAGCATTCACCAAGTGGGCGTCTACTGTCTTGCCTTGGTGCCAGCCAACACATTGCCAAAGGCTCCACTTGGAGGAATTCATATTTCAGAAACGAAGCAGCGCTTTTTAGAGGGTGCTCTGCACCCTTGTAATGTCTTGATGTGTCCACATACTTGCGTTACTAACCTGCCTAAGCCTCGACAGAAACAACCAGGTGAGTAAACCAGAGCATGCTCTTTAGTTCTGCATGTCTGTCTCTGAGGGCATGCGTGGAATATGATCCAGAGGCAACATGACAGCTCAGAGCTGTGTATGTTGGATGGCTTTAAGCTGTCTAACTTGGCAGAGCTAGTGGTGTTGTCAGAGCAGCCCAGAGCTCAGTGAGAGCATTATGGTCTGCCTCGAATCCTAGGTAAATGCAAGGACGTACAGCACGTACCCATTTCATGCTTCTGTAGCTGTGTTATAAATTGTTCCTGTACTGACCATCTTGTGAAGGATGGTAACTCACATAATAAAACTGAAGTACAGACAGACCTCAATTTGCTGAATCAGTAGTAGACTGATTTTTAATGTACCATACTGATAATGGACTGATTTTTAGTGTACCATACTATCCTCTTCTCTCTTTTTCTATGCAATATGATCCTTGGTTTTAGCTTTTCATCTTTTCAGCTCTATGTTACATATGGCATTTATAGTAATCTGCAGGCTGAATTATAGATTATTACATGTTCCTTGCATTATTTTTCCTCATTTTGCACTGTTTTTTCAAAATGCAGATGTTGGTCCTGCTTCAATGATAGTAGGAAACCTTGTTGCTGGGAAGAGAATTGCACAAGCCTCAGGGAGAGATGTTACCCAGTTGGAGGATAATGACCAGGCAAGAAAGGTAACACTGATGTCCTGGTATTATTAAATATTTGAATTGGCTTCTCAAAATGAGAGAAGACCAGTTATGGTATTCTGCTGAAACTAAGCATGGTGCATTTTGAGTGAATCTGAGTGTCTCCTTTTTTTCCTGTTTCAGTTCCTGTATTTGGCAGATGTTCTTCAGTGGCGAGCTCAGACAACTCCAGACCATCCCCTCTTCCTTTTGTTGAATTCCAAGGTGAGATGCACTTTAGGTCATACTTGGAGATTGAGATCAGTAAAAGATTGTTTGGATTCTAAGAAAATTCCAGCTAGAAGTCTTTTCCTAAAATGCTTCAGGTTATGTTGATGATGTGGGATGTCATGGTTTTGAAGCAGACAAAAATTGCTAGTTAGCAAGCAGCATAATTTTTCCACATCTGGAATTTTATTCCACATCTTTTACTCCACATTTGGAATTTCAGTATGCATTCTGCCTAGCTTAAAACACTGCAGTAATTGCATTTCCTCTTGGAACACAACTTTTGTCATATTAATGGAAGCCACAATTCTGTCTTCCTCCCTGAGCACAAGGGTAACTGGAAGTCAGAGCTGGAGTATTTTTTACTTAGAAGATCTGGAGCCTAAGTAGAGAACCCTTGGGACAGCTTTGGAATCAAGTTTTCCAGGAGCACTGCACACCCTTCAGGAGACACTGATGCCTTGTCTTCGGCTAGGCTCTGCCCCTGAAAAGGATGGCACTTACAGTCACTCAGATGTGAACAAGTAAATGCATCTGTTTTGGAGTACAGGCTCTATGTACTTACAGGCTCTATATACTTATTTTATTCAAGGGTTGTCTGAGCCCTTATGACATATGACAAGGCAACAGTCATGTTTCTTGGTAAATACATCATTTTTGCTCATAGCCACTCTGCTCTGCATGTGACTGTCAGTAGTTTTGGAGCATTCACGTACCCCGTGCATCCAACACTTCATAAAGGCGTGTGAAAAAAAGTGCACTTTTGCATGTTCCTCAGTATTTCAGCCTCCCTGGGCTTGAGGAGCACTATTGCTGTGCATATTTCAGAAAACTCAAATATTTTAGAGTCTTCTACTGCTGTTCTGGCACTTTTTTATTCCCCTCCTTTCTTTCCAGGAGGCAAAGTTTATCAATTTTTGTTTGAGCCTGTACTCAGTAGCTACCCTTCCAGTGACAATAACAGCACAGTGACAAATTGGGTTTACCTTGTGCTGTGCTGTATCACAGACATGTGAGATAGGGAACATGCTTTCGGAAGGCCCAGCAGCAGTCCTTGGGAAGTGACAGATTTGCCTTTGGGTCTCTCATTCAGACAGGCGAAATGGTTTAGGAGATGGTTCAAACTTCTGACTTTTCTCATGAGACTCTACTTTAACAGAAGAAACTGTTTCAACATGGTTATTGTTAAAAGCCACAGAATTGGTTTATTCTTCTCTCAGAGTGAAGAGGGTTTTGAGGGAAGTTTTCGATTTTGAAGAAGCCCCTTTCTGGGTCACTTTGTTCAGGCAACTTTTACCCTTCACAAGGAGACTCTGCAAAAAGGAAACACAAAACTTAGGCACAAAGAAATTATCTGTTGGTGAACACATGCTTTAAATAGCTGGGACTATTAAGCTACAGTGCTAAACGTTAGTGTGTTCACAGCTGTCCATGAGAAACCCTTTTGTTTTACACTTTTTCATGTCAATGTTTTTCTCCCAAGTTCCTGAGCTGCTACTGTTCCTATATCAACAGTACACTGTATTTACTGTTCTTATTTTGCATGACTTTAGCTCCCAGGCTTTAACAACAGTTCCCTTAGTAAAACTGAGCAGAGTGCCAGTGCCGTCCTGCATCAAACTAGGCCTTGGATCAGACAGCTATGCACTTGAGCTGAGGATTACATGTGGCAGTCCGTCTTGGACTTGAAGCTGAATACTTGTATAGCAGAGATGTGCTGTGATAATCCTTATCTGTACAGCAGGAGGCTTCATTCAGTCTCTGACTGTTTGTTTTCCTCTGAGGTGGTTGTCCCACCAGTTTTTCTTGAATCAGATTGTAGTCTTGGAAAAACAGATACATCCCAACCTCACAGGCTTAAGGCTAAAACATCGCTTCCTAGGCTGGATAGCAAAAGGATGTTTTCTGTCTTCACATCAAAAGCTGGACTAAGCCTTTTGGAATCCCCATGACTTTGCGACTGCCTAAGCAATCCAAAGATACAGCTGCTTCCATGTGAAGACTTTCTAGATGCATAGTTGCGGGAAATATACTTTCTACAAGATAGACAGTAGATGCACTGAAGCAGAAGTGACAGTACATGCCAACCACAGCTCAGGTTGCCTCTATGACCCTTTAAAAGAATATCTGTATCAGAGACATCAGCAGAGTTCCCTTTGCACTTTTAAGACTGCTGATCGCAAAAGCATCTAGAGGTTTGGCTGTGCATGGTAGGGTAAAGTTGATGCAGTGCTTCACTTACTGCTAAAACAATTGTGGTGTTACCTGTGTGTTCTCCCTTGGGCTGTGAAATTTCAAATATTTGTAAGGTATTCTTTTTGTGGTACCAAATACATTCAGAAGCTGCTTCACTGTCTGATGTTCAAAATAATATGTATAAAATTCTCTAGTGTTCTAAAAGTTCATGGTACTAGCAGCATGGTTTCCAAAACACTGAGACAGAGTCTTTAAAAGTGCTTGCTGTATTGTTAAAATAAGGACAATGAAATATTGCATCTGCAACATGTACTTTATTCAGTTTCAAACTCTTCTCCACGAAGTTTTCTGATGTTGCTTCTGTTTTGTGCAGGGCACTGTAGCTAGCACTGCATCGTGCATACAGTTGCACAAGAGAGCAGAGAGAGTGGCAGTTGCACTGATGGAGAAAGGACGACTGAATGTTGGTGACCATGTGGCCCTGGTTTATCCTCCAGGTAAGGCAGAACAGACAGCAAAAGTCAAAGTCAGACATCACAAGAAAAGAAACAACTCTTGCCAAGATAGAGCATTCAAACATCTATTCAATATAGTGGTATATGGCAGTGACTTAGTATTTCAAGGAAGAGACTTCCTTTTTGGAAGGAAGTTTATTATGAAGTTGCTTCTCCAAGTGGCAAACTACATTTACCAAACATTTCATCTAACTGCTCCAGATGTCTGGGCAGTTATGCAAGAGTAGTTTGATTTAAACCACGTGAAAGATTCTCATTTTTCTCAGAGAATGGAATAAAACTGCATATGTATCCGTTGAAAGCTAGATTAGGGATGTCAGTGTATGAACACCCTTTCTTTCCTGAATGGCTGTCTCTAGAAGTGAAATCTGGACCCCAGACTCGCATTACTAGTATGTATTTACAAGTGTACCTCGGGGAAAAAAGTATTACCTCGTAAAAGTAGGATGACTGCATATTTCAGAGTCATAATTGTGAAAAATAAATGTATGCTTTTTTAAAGAATCTGAGTCATCATCTTCATAACCTACAATGCCTTGTTTTGTTATTTTTGTTATTTTATACTACCTGTCCATGAAAATATATCCCTACGTACTTAAAGTTTGTAGGGTTTGAATAATTTTTGCTAACACTCAAACACAAAATATTTTAACCTTATAGAATTGGGCATGGCCAAGAACAGCCTGTTGATTTGAAGAGACCTTTGTGACAAATCCTTACATCTTATTAAAATAAATCACTGTGTATTTTGATTTTGGTGAAAGAGTTTGGCCTTTTGTTCTGATAAAAATGGCTTTAATTTCACAAATATCCTTTACAGGAGTAGACTTGATAGCAACTTTCTATGGCTGCTTGTATGCTGGCTGTATACCTATCACCGTTCGCCCACCTCATCCACAGAATCTTGCTACCACTCTGCCCACTGTCAAAATGATTGTAGAGGTATGTATGAGACATTCCTCTCCTAATGCTTTTGGTGGGTGTAGGATGGTTGATGCAGACTGATAAATTGTTTTGCCACAGTCAATGTAAAATAAGCTAGGAAAAAAAATAATCAGTATGCTGTGGCTGAGTCAATAAATACTTTTTCAGAAACTCATCTAAAATGTTCTTTCTATTGTTGTAATTTATTTTGCTTTGTTGCCAGTGTTTTTCTTCATCTATTCAGCTTACTGGTTATCTCATCTGGATGGATATGAAATCACTTCAGCATTCATTCACTAGTTATTTATAAATGTTTTTAATGCTGTGTCTTTTACAGGTCAGTAAGTCTGCATGTATACTGACCACACAAGTGATAATGAAACTGCTGAAGTCCAAGGAAGCTGCAACAGCTGTAGATATTAAAACGTGGCCCACTATTTTGGATACAGGTACAGAATGTTCGCCCACTAGCCAAAATGTAAATAGTTTGACGACTAATTTATTTATTTTGTTATACCGTAACTGCCTAATTGAATGGACGTATCTTGCATTGCATCAAAATAGTTGTACAGAAACTGTAGAAAGCATCTGGTGTTAATGCTGTAAAGACACATTTTTGTCCTGTGCTCTTTTTCCAAAATAATGTGGTACTCTTCTCTTTTTATATAATTTAAATAGATGATATGCCTAAAAAGAAGCTGGCTAGTATTTTCAGACCTACATCTCCAGATATGTTGGCATACTTGGACTTCAGCGTGTCTACTACTGGTATATTAGCAGGAGTAAAGGTAGAGTAACAAGAGAGAGATTATTATACTTTGTTTCCTTATATATAGTCATATTCCACATTGACTCCTCGTGCCAGAGAAGAAATACGAAAATGTAAGTGGACCATCTTAGTGTTCAGAAAGCTTATTTTTAAATTTGCATAACATCAAAATGTCTTGATGCTCTTTTGGAAGCATTCAGTCTTACTGGCTCTATGTGAGGAATCACCAAGGGGACTAAATGGAGAGTGTTTGTCGTAAAGTTCATGAATGTTTTCTTTTGCGAATTGTTGTAGAGATGTCAGATGTCATTTGGCATCCTTCAGTGTCATGACAGATGTCATTAGCCACTAGTGTGAAAAGTATCTGTGAAATTTTGGGCTTGTATCCCTTTCCTGTTTTAAAGGTGCTTAAAAAAACCCAAACAAACCACTACGTGTTGCCACATCTTCCACAGTAAACATTTTTATCAGTTATTACATGTGATAACCTTCTTAAAAAATCCCTGAGAACGCCTGTTTTCCTATTCCAGATGTCACACGCAGCTACAAGTGCCTTATGCCGCTCTATAAAGCTACAGTGTGAGCTGTACCCTTCACGTCAGATTGCTATCTGCCTTGACCCTTATTGTGGCTTGGGATTTGCACTGTGGTGCTTGTGCAGGTATGTCGTTTGAGTTGTATGTTTTCTCATGTGTTCCCAGCCTTCTCTAGAATCATCCACTACTGTTCCCTTGGAAACTGTCAGAGAAACCCAAATTAACCTTTTTATACGTATTTCAAAAAATACCTTTTGTGGTAACAAAATTCATTAAGTTAGTCACCTGAGTACCTTGGGTTTTGCAAGTGGAATTAATTAGATACCAAATCCAAGAAAAAAAAAAGGACTTCACTGTCTATTTCACATTGATTAAATAAGTCCTTTCAAAGTCTTTTGAGATTAAACCATATCTTTTTACAAGACCCTTAAGGTGTTGACTACAAGATTGGTATGCACTAAGAAATACTGCTAAAGGAAGCAATTAAATGTTTCTTAAAATGAATGAGACCTGAATTGATTCAATCAGATAATTACTATAACGCAGCACATTTTGCAAAGCTGCAAAATTTTCCTCTTTTTTGCCTTTTAAAACATGCCATATGCTTTAACTAATCCCAAGATTTAATAGTGTTTTGGATATTTCATTAAAAAAAAATGCAGAAACTGAACATGAAATGTTATTTTGTAAACAGATGAAGTTAATTTTACTGTCGTTAACCTGTTCCTTCCCTCTCCAATTTCTCAACTGGAAAGGAAATGTACTGAAGGAAAGCAAAAAATTTAACTTTGGTAACATCTGATAATTTATATCATCAATAAAATGAGGCAGGGTGGAGGGAGAAGAAACCTCAGTGATGGAAGAATTAAAATCTAAATGGATTTAAGAAAAATATTTTTAGGGAAGGGAACTACGTGTGTCATGCTTTCTATACAAGAGTTAATATAAGGTTGCTTTGTTTCATCTGAGTTATAGCTTTGTTTTAGTGTGAAAGACTTTATTACAGAATGTTTGTTTTTTTTTTCCTATTTTAGAATGTTTAAAAAGAAAACAAATCCCTCATTGTATTGCGCACTGCAAAAACACATCAACTCTAGTTAGGAGAAATGGCAAGCATGTCAAGCTGCCTGTTGAAAGTAGTTAGAGATGCTGTTATTTTTTTCAAGATGCATTGGTTTATCTAAGCCTGGTTTTACAGAGGAGTGTGTCACTGATTTTGTTCATGGTAACTGATCTAAAAAACATTTGGCAATTTAAGACTGTATGGTCATGGTGTTTACTGTTTTGAAATGAGTATATAGTATTTAAAAAAAAAAAATTAAGAGGTGGTGTGATTCTGAATTTGACTTTCTGTCCACTCATGTTAACTGGTATCCAGGTTAAATATTTCACATAAACCCTGTTTAAAAACTGAGACACCTATGGCAAAGGCTAGAAGATTGCACTAAAAACTTGAATGGTGCAATATAGGTGTTAAATACTCATTTCACTCAAAGCAAAAGGTGCATTTTTCCTAGAATGACTCATAAAAATAAGCTCAATTACCAATTGTAATCTGTAACTGGAATGATGTCTCAAATGTTAACGTTTTAGTGTTAGAAGTTCTGTCTATTCAAGGCATTGAGTATTTCCCTCTAGTTCAACACAATTTACTGGGGGACAAATATACTCGCCTTAAAGTTTGTGCCTTAACTCAAACCCATAGTTCTTAGCTAAGAGATAACTTGCTGTCTGTGGAGAAGATAAGCTGGGGTTCAGATAGATACCAAACTCAGTTTCCTGTATTTGCTTCATTTTGATTTTATGTAACTTCTGGCTTTTTTTACGCTGGCTTGAAGTTTTCATGTTTCTTTTTCTTCCTCTCCCTAGTGTATATTCGGGTCATCAGTCTATTCTAGTCCCTCCTCTGGAACTGGAGAGCAATGTGTCTCTGTGGTTGTCTGCTGTAAGTCAGTATAAAGTGCGCGTCACGTTCTGCTCTTACTCCGTGATGGAGATGTGCACCAAAGGGCTTGGAACACAGACTGATATACTCCGGGTGAGTGGACTTAATATTTCAACATACTGACATACAAATACATGTATCTTTCTAAAAATACTTCATTTTGGCCTGCAGAAGATGGGCCATAAGCGTTTCTTTGAAAGCCTTTTCATTATGACTTGCTTTTTGGGAAATGTTGAGATTGCTGGAAATTTCAGCTGTCATGTTTCTGGTGGGGAAAAAAAAAAAAGTCTTATGTTTTCAGCTTTACTTATTTGTGCCACCTCTGTGTTGCTGGGTATTTCTGAGATTTTGGGCAAAACACTTAGCAAGCCTATCAATTTTTTCTTGTCTGAGACGAAAAAACCAACCAGCCAAACAAAAAAAACCCACACCAAAAAAAAACCCCAAACCAAAAAACCTCTCCCCTGAAAAAAGCATAACAAAAAGCCCCTCAAAACCTGGCAAGTCTCACCTGCTTTCAGATCTCTTGACACCAGAAGTATTGAGTTCTAAAATGGATGTAATCTTCCTAACAGCAGCAATTACACACTAATACATCCATTTATTTTTGAGGGAAATCTCTTTAACTGAAACATAATGTCCTTGAAGAGGCGCCTCTGTCTCAATGGTAGGAGAGTTCCCACGGCTGTAGTAACTAAGCTGCTCAAGGACTTCCACTGGGAATGTCTGGCAGCTTGTTGTGTGCAAGAAAGCGGCTACATTGTGCTTGTTCTCAGTATAGGCAAAAAACTCTGTCCCTCTGTTCTCTTGGACCTCACTGAAGGGAATCCTGGCCCACAGCCAGTTGCTACAGGTTCACATTCATGCTGATGAGAGCTAATAATGTCTCAAACACTCTACCTGCATCTGAACTGCGCCAGCACTGGGAGGAAGCTGGTTTCTTGTGTGCCCAGCCCTGTGATACAATGACGTTTTGTGGTTTTTTTCAGCTCAAAATGATGAGTGGCTGTGTTGCAGCTCCACGATGCGATTAGTTTGCATCTTGTGCATCAAACCCTACCACTAAGATTCTTGGCACAATTTTAGAGGGTTGTCCTAGGTGGATGGATCCAAACTGAGCGCAGTCCGTGTCTATATTGTTTAACCAGTTCATGTCAGTTACTCTAGTGTTTCTAAAGTCCATCTGTTCTGCAAATTAAAATGGCTTATTTCTAGAATTGTTGACTTCAAACTTAAAATGTTGTTTTCTTCACCCAACCTCTCAGATGAAAGGAGTTAATCTGTCCTGCGTGCGAACATGCATGGTGGTTGCAGAGGAGAGACCAAGGATTACATTAACACAGTCTTTCTCTAAGTTATTCAAAGACCTGGGCCTCTCTGCTCGTGCAGTGAGCACTACATTTGGGTGCAGGGTCAACGTAGCGATTTGCTTACAGGTGAGATTAAACTGCTTATTCCTTATATTTACGGATTTTTTCTAATGAACTAGAGCTCCATTGCTTGCTTGCTTCATCACCAAGTAAATGAGCCTTGAAGATGTGGATTGTGATAATTTCACTTTTCTGTACTAATTGACCGCTTGATTTGCCTTTCTAATACAGAGGATCAGTATTAAGAAACTCGTTTTCCTTCCTACTATGCAGGAGCAGTATTAAATTAAATACACAGCTTCCTGGTCATAAACGTATTAAATACCTTAAGCAGTGCTATTTCAGCTTTTGTGTGATTCAGATTTTGCCTGTTTGAAAAGTAGCTTATGTATATGTGGAATTAAATGGAAGACAGAGTTCCTCAAATAAGACCAAGGAAAATTGACAAGGTTGGCAGGTTTTTTTACTTTTAAAGATCTCAAATGAGTATTATCAATGTGCAAATATGTTTGTCTCACCTCATGTGAGAGTTGGACTTTTTTTTCAATTAAAGGTATAAAATTGGAAGCCCTGAAGGGGAGAATATGCCCATAAAGTACACAGCCCTACTTCACAGACTGGAAATAATGACGTGCTGTAGTCCAGACCCACCTTTGACAGTTTAGTATTCAGTTGACGATAATCTTGTATGTGTAATTTAACCAGATTAAATCTAACTTTTCTTAATGAGATGTTTCTTCTCTAGCTAGGAGAGGGAAAAAAGTGTATTCCACAACTTACCTGAAAACCACGTACTAAGTATGGTCTAGAAATTGGCAAAGCACCCTGGGTTTTGGATGATACTTGAGTTAATAGATAAACTGCTCAAGTTTCAGATGTGACAGTATGTAGCTTTGTATGTGAGGAATTTCATAGATGGCACATGCATTAAGTATGTGTGTAATTGTAAATTTTATTTCCAATTTTATTGGTATGAATTACACTTAATAAAAAAAAAAATATGATTCTATGAAGATTCCTACTGTGCTTTTGCAAAACTTTTTTTTTCCTTTCTGGTGCCCACTAGATGAAAGAAAGCCTTTTTTCCCTCTCAGAATACATTTTAATGTTCTAGATTTCCTATGAGAGAGATGTTTCGGGCCATGAGCTTCTTAAATATGTTGCCATTCATAATGGTTTCTTTAGTTTCTGTAGTTTCTTTCACACATATTAAAGGAGAAAAGGTTTTTAACAACCCTTAGGTAAATGGTTATAAAGAAATGCAGCCAGAGCAATTTTATGAATCGGTAGATTGCAAAATAGGAAGGCTATAGATGAAATTAAGATGACTGTACAGAAAGATTGTAAATTCATTGAATAAAACATTTCAGATGCCAAGTGTGAAAGAACAGCTTCCTGCATTGCCTGTCCAAATAAGAATTTTAAAAGTCAGCTTTGGATATTTGCTATTCAGACTGTACAAAAGGGGAAAAAAGCAGTTTTTCTACAGAATGTTAAATGGCAATGTGAAAAGTACTCCAAGAAAACTGTGAAGAGTTGTAGGGCTGCTGGGCAGTTAAGCTTCCCCTTGATTTTATACCTTTTTCATCTCTGTTCTCCGTTCTTGAGCCCCTTTTTAGTGGTTTTTTTAACCCCTTCCCCCCATTCTTCCAAAGTGATATCTGTATCTGACTACTTTTAAATCATTGAATTTAAATGAATATAGATTAATAGCCAAACTGAATGGGTATTTGATACAAGTTAGCATGCAAATAAATACATAACGTCTTCCAACCTTACTGGACTGGTTTACTGAGAAGGTGTTTCTGAAGCTGCAAGCAGCCTTTAGATACTTACAGATGGAGGAGGGATTTATGATAAGGCAACAGGCATTACATATGATCTGCCTTAAACCTCTTCTTATTAACTGACACTTGCTTGTTTCCCAATGAACCACTTGAAAGTGCCAAGCTCTTAAATAATCTGAAATGGAAATTTTCTTTTCACTCTAAAACAGTATGAGTTTTTTTTCTGTCTTACTGTGTGTATCTTATGTTTCCAGTGCCTCTTTGTTTGTATTTTCTTTTTTCCCCTTTCTCTCTGTTTCACACACTTTGATGGCCTCTGTTACTTCTGTTTGTGGTCCCGCTGTCAGCCAAACAGGCTGGGCAAACTGGCTGAACAGGTATAGTGATGCATGTGTGCTTGTAATGTCCTTGTAAAGTCAGTCTAGTTCAGCAGTATTACTGAGTAATATGAAAAAACAGTGTTTTCATTTGAAACAGGTCAAGCGAGATTTTTTTTTTTTTTCCTAAAGTTCAGTTTTACTCACAAAGAACACTTGTAGTTGAAGTACAAAACCTCTTTCTCAAACAAGCAGAAAGGGGGTATAGCAATGATTAAAATTACTGAATGGTATATTCCTAAAGATAGAGATCATACCATTAATCTGGTGTGGCCGTCAGTGTCACTGAAACTCAGCGTCGCTAGAGAAGTACAAGGGAACGTTATTACAAAGACATTATTACTATTCTCCAGCACTGCAATCTTGAGCTGATGGCCAAGTGGCCTCATTTTAAGTATTTCTAAAATGAGAAACTGTGCTATGGGGAGGAAACTTTGCCTATTTTTTTAGCTTAAATATGCATTTCACCATCGTTTCTAGTTGTCTTGAGATTAAATTCTGCTGGGGGGAAAAAACAGGTCCCCTGTTCCTACATTGGGAAATGGGAAACCTCTCACCAGACTTGGTCAGAAGGTTTATCCTCTGACTGCAACAGAACTCTGCCTCTGCCTAGGCTGTTTCTGGCAGGAGCCTTGAAGAGACACGGGTTGGTTAGAGTTACGTTTTAGTTAAATGTTGGGTTTGTTTTTTCTTCGAAGTTGACAAAACTGTTATAAAGTAGAACAGATGAGCTTTGGGAAAGGGATTAGGCCTGCATAGGTTTATGCTTACATCCTTTGCAGTTGCTATGTAGTTTTTAGAGGAGGTGCTTACCAAAATGAAATTTTAAAACCTTAAATTTTAAATTTAAAAATTTTAAAAACTTAGACTTACCTGTATAAATACATACTTCACTTGTGCATTCATTTACTGATTCCATAAAACATCAAAGCTTTATGGCAGTCACTCTAGAAAGGGGGGCTATTTTACTATATTTCTTGTAGATTAGGGCAGTACTTTATAAGTGTCAGTAAAAAAGGGAGAGGAATTTGTGAATTTACGTGGCTGTAAGAATGAAAGCAGGATTTTCTGGCTTCTGTTGAATTTGTTTCTTCCTTCTTATTCTTAGGGAACAGCAGGACCGGATCCAACAACAGTCTACGTAGATATGAGAGCACTTCGACATGACAGGTAGAGATTATGTTAAAGCATGAACTATTTAATGACTGTAGAGGAGAAAGTTCAGCCTCATTGCATTGCATTGGTATGTTGAAATATTTTTGGCAGCAACTAATCCCTCATCACTGTATGCAAGGAACCCCACCCTAGAGAATCCTTTAATGACGGCTGTGTGCTGGAAGTGGTCCAGCATCTCCTCCTCCATCACTTGTTCTGCTTGTTCCCTTCTAGACCCTCACCTAACTAGCTGTCTGTTCATCAGTCTTGTATAATCTAGACTCATTAGCTGTTTCTTACCTAACCAGACTGTTAGCAAAAGGTGACTTTACCAACTGGCTGGTTAGTCACAGAATCACAGAAACAGTTAGGGTGGGCAGGATCTCTGCATGTCCCTCATGCAACCTGCTCAAAGCAGGACCAGCTTCAAGGCTTCATCAGGTTACTGCGGGCCAGGACCAGTTCAGTGCAGAAAATCTCCAAGAATGGAGATCCTCTTCCTCTCTGTGTGTATGTGCTGAGACTGACACCCTGCTCTGGGGAAGTTTTCCTTACTGGCATTTCCCATCTTGCATGTTATGTCCCTGGCCTCTTCTCCTTATGGTGTGCAACTGAGAAATCTGGCTCCATCTTCTCAGTAACAATTCTTTAGGTAGTGGAAAAAGTGCAGTTAGAGTCCCCCTTAGTCTTTTTTTTTTTCCTTCAGACCAAACCAACTCAGCCTTCCCAGATCCAATAAATTGATGTCAGGCCTGTTCTACAGCGTATCAAAACACACACACATATGTACACACATGTCATCTGGAAACTTGACAAGGATACATCATTCTATCAGATTTAATTCTGTAGTCATAATTTTCCTATTAACTTGTCTCTTGGTTAACTTAGTTACTACAAGTGCTGACAGCACCAAGTTCAGACTGTAAGTTTAATAGCATACATACATATATGTATTTGTTTCTGTACTTATTTTAAGAAACATAATATCAAGACTTGGTGCATTCGATCTAGGTTTTTTTAATTGATAATGTTGAATTAGGGGCTTACATTAACTGGCAGCTTTTGTGACTACTTATCTCTAGTTTTTGCAAGCTTAAATCTTAGCTGTTAGAGGACAAGCTATTCACCATCATTTGCATGACCCGGATTTGGTATCTCAACAGATCAGAGTAGACGACAGTCATTTTCTCCTTATTTAATATATCACTATGACTTGCATGGTATATATTCCTGTTAAAAACAAGTTCAGCCATTGCCTTAAAGCCGCCGCTGTGTTAGTCAGTTCTAGCCTATAGGTGTAGGGATAGTGTAATATAACATAATCTATAGGAGCCTCTTCTCTTACACACCTCTCCTACTACACTCAATTCTTGTTCCTTCTGCAAATGTGCTGCCTTTATAAGTTATGCTACTAATGGGCTGC